AAATTGCGCACACGTACGAACCGCGTTACAACAGTGGTGTTTGCGTGGTGTGCACGATTACGACACATTGATTGTTTATTCTATTACGTTCAACAGGTTACAAAACTATTGTCCCACCCATTTTCAAAATTTTACTATACATCTTATAGATATTATATAATACGTTCAGTTACCACAAACCGCAGTGCACATAATTATACCGCTATTTAATCAGTTCATTTAAATATTCACTATTTTCTTTTTATTCATTTATGAATAAATTAACGATTTATATGATACAACTAGTAAACAATCATATTTAATATGATTTGCGACGATCAATCATTATGTTTTTATATTTCTAAGGCCTAAAATTGTCGTTTAATGTACATTGATAATAATGTATACTATTTTCGAATTTTCTATAAGTAGATAAATGTTTTTGTTTACATTTATACTTCTAAAATGTACGGTGTACAATGATAAAATAGGTATATGAAAATGTAACATTCTATATTTATTGACGGATTGTTAAATGAAATGAACTTCAATGTGCATCGGAAAACACTCGATCATATTGCGCAGTACATGGTGATTAATAATTTAAAAATCTTAATCGAATTATATTAAAGTTGTTTATAAAAGCTACATTTCAGTAATGTCCATAAAATCATTAAACATTTCATAACATAACTTACTATATTGAAATTAATGGAATTTTCTTATTACTGTTTGGGATGATCTGTACATGTTTAATTTATTTATTTCATGACTTAGGTATGTGATGATCACATCGAATTCCGAAATTTAATTTTCAAATATTACATATTTTAAGTTATTTTTGTATATTACACATTTCCTATTTTTTTTCCTGATCGATTTATTTTTCATTTTTTTTCGTTAAAAAAACATTTCATAGTAAGATTTATCTCTTTTTTTAAAAAAATATATAATTTTCTTAGAAGTGTCATAATTCTTTATTAAAATCATATAAAATTATTATTTTTTTTTATTCAATAAAATAAAATTTTGTTTACTGTGTAATTTTGTTGGTTTGTTATCTATCAATTTAATATTAAAATAATCAATAAATATTATATTTTTGCACTTAATAATACAATGATTTTATATTAACATTAAACAATGTTCAGTGGACTATTAAAATAAAACATCTTACGAACACTCTCAACATATGTTTGAATAATATTATATTTTACGGGATTCATACGAACATCTGTACATAAACTCTAAAAAAAAATAAAATACATTTTAAAGTTAATAAATAAAAAATTATTGTACCGTACCAAAAACTTGAATTTAAATTTTAATCGAAACTATATAATCTGTTTGCGTTATATTTTTATGAATCAGCAATAAAACTTTTACGAAAATGCAATAAAAATTTAATATTTATTGATTTAAACTACGTATAAAACTGGGAGACATTTTTGAAATATCATAATAGATATACATATATATATATATACATATATATATATACATATATAGATATACATATATAATAGATAATACATATACGATATGTAACTTGAGCTATTTTGACTATTGGTACACATTATTAATAACATACAAATAAATAAAATGTTATATAAGAATGTAACACTGTAATACAAAAATCATATAACGTTTTTAATTTTAATTTACATTTTCGTTTCGTTCAAAACTATTCTTACATTAAAGTATTTAGAACAGTTAAATATTAGACATAAAGGTGTACACATTAATTATAATTTATGTAAAACATTCAAATAATTCTAAATTAAATATTACAATATGTAATTAAACAAATACAGTAAATGATAAATTGCCTTATTCGTAACCGTAGTTTATGTACATCAGATAAAGAACACAAAAAGCTGTTTCCTAAATAATTGTGTAATATATACACAAACGAGCTGACATTTACATGGCAATATTTTTTTCGCTATTTAAAAAGTTTTCTGTATAGAAAAAAATCATGTTTGGAAGGGTTTTTGATATTGTACGCAATAAATGGCCGCCATTTCAGAAACTATCGTAGAACAAAAAAGTTCGCTCGACGCACGCCCAAATTTCACATGAAGTTAGCAACGACTGAAAGAAATGGTGAAAATTAATTTCCTAAGGCAGAAACTTATCCGTCGACAACAGTCTAGTTGGTAACACGTATAAATTGCACGTGTACGTGTCATGTGCACAACTTTGAACGAGAAAGCGGTGGTGAGGAATAGAAACATTAGGAGGAAAGCGCGTAAGTCAACTATAATTGCAATTTCATAACACCAAAAACGGACAAACTAAAACACATTATCATAATATCTGGTATGAATTATTTTAGTTTTTATATGCATATTTACACACCCCATTAAAGTGATTCGACTGTAATTTTATCGCTCAGAATTGAGAATTTTTGAGTAAGTATCATCGTAATAATATTTTGTGTATTTCGCTGTCTAAATCCATTTATATGGGTTTTAATCATTTGTATTTACTTATTGTAATAATTTTTGTGGTTTATATAATATACAAAAATGATGCGCGTGTATATAATACTTTAACGCTAACACATTTTCGTTTGCATATTTAATTAATAGTAATTATTTAATTATTTTTATTGAAACAAAATACAAATAACTGTAAGAAAAATCAAAATTATATCAACATAATAATAGTTAACAATATTATTATATGATTGATTTTTAACAAACATGTTCTACGATTAAAAACAATTAAGTAATATCGTATATTTAATATAAACATTCGGACAGACCATGCGCTAAACGCGTAATATTAAAAACTAAATAGATCCCTTACTGTTTATCACCAAGTATTTGGTGTCAATTTGTTTTAATACGCGGGAACAGGTTATCTATTTATGTGCGCCTGTTAACAACTTAAGATAGGGCAGCAACTATAAACAATATTATAGTTTATCCTGTGCAATTTTAAATCGAATAAAGAAAAATAAAAATTGTAATGGACACGCACTTGGCGAGTCCGCAACAGATAAAAAGAAAAAGAATAACAAGACGAAATTACTCAAAATTATATTCTTTATTTACTAACAACTATAGTGAAATGGTCTGTAAATGTGAAGAATTACCCAAAGACTGACTGCTACGTGTATTCGTATTTACATACGAGCCGGCCGTTAAGCAAAAAGGGTTTGTTCAGCAGATTCCTTAGGCCGGTCGCATGACGAAATCACACGCATATTAGTTTACAATAATATCTACAACCAGGGCCGTATTAACGCATAGGCACTATAAGCACTGTGCCTAGGGCCTATGAATATTTTTGAGCCTACGAAAATGTGTAGCTACGATTTATATTATGTAAATTGGTATAACATTTTTTTTTTTTATGGTTTTTAACAATTTATATTATATATGTTTTGGATTAAAATGAATTTTTTTTTAACATTTGTTAAAACTTATATCGTATATAAATGTATAATAGTTATTATATAAAAGTTTAGATTTAATTTTTATGTTGAAAATATTATTGCTTTTAAAAGCTTAACACTACATGAGATTCAACACTTCTTCTCCCAAAGAGAAGGTTTCTTAACCATTTAAATACTGGACAACGGCCCTGCAAGGACTAGGGGCCTAGAGCCTACGATAGTGTTAATCCGGGTCTGTCTACAGCTAATACTAATATTAATACTATATTATTCAGTGGTTCTTAATAAAATAAAATAAAAACTACTACTAATAAAAAGTAAAAACTACAGCTATTGCTCGAAATAACTGTCGGGATAGTTAAAAAAAAAAAAAAATTATCATTACGGCAAGTGCACGCGGTGGATTTGCTTTACAGCCCGATATCAACATAACTAACTTTTGTCTCGGGAAAAACATGTTCGGATGGTGTACAAGCGTATGACGTATTACAGGCGTTTTGTTGTACGCCTACAACGGCGGGGACGATGCGGGATTTCGATGACCTCGGCGATTAAACACGTTATTACAATATTTGCGAATAATACGATTACGCGCGTCCGGTGAGAGGAAATTATATTATGTAATCCGAGGCCTGGTTCTAACCAAGTATATTAATATATATGCGAACCCGCGGCACGGGCAAAGTGGTTACGGTCGTCAGCCGCGTGAAGAGCGTAGTTTGTTCCGTTGACAAGTTTTTCCGGACAGTCGACGGGTAGGGATGGGGGGTTATTGTGCGTTTCCCAAACGTGGGTACAAGAAGAAAAATATATATTTTTCACCGGAAACCCCATACTTTATTACTGTACACAAACAGTATAGTTGTGGCCTCTTGAAGACTCCGTTGCCAACCACTAGAAAGACTAGAGTGTAGAGAAGCTTCTCCGTCAACGACAGACGAACTTCACTGCACTATTTCAGTCTCTTACTCTCTCTCTCTCTTTCTCCCTCTCATTTTCGCACACGCACGCTTGTGTTGTTTTTTTTTCATTATTATTTCACCCCACTCGTTCCAAAAACAAACTGCCTGCCACGTTCTCGAGAGCTGCTATTTTGTCCCTCTACCATCCCCTCCCATCAACGATCATTATATTTCCCCCGTCCGACTAAATACAACGGGTAGAAACCTAAGTGTGGGCAGAGAAGGTAAACTATTAACACAATTTATGATAACATTCCTTCAGTGCTCCGACTAATATGTTTTAGGAAATTAATTGAAATAATTAATTGTCATCCTTTATACGGTGCAACGGAAACACTCCCGCGACATAAAATATAAATGATTGCGAGTCGAAACCGAAGTGTTTAAAGAAAAAAATAATAAAGCCATTAAACAGTTTCGACTGCCTTTGCGAAGTTATACATTGAGTTATAGCTGTTACGTTTAGGGTACAGAAACGAAACAGAGTATTAATTAATAAATAGGTATTCGGATAACCCGATTAATTTCGTACAATTTACTTTATTCTGTATGAATGAATATTATCGACTTTTTTCTTTTTTTTTTTTTAATACATGACATAGGAAATTTATATTAAATTTTAATGGACAACGTATTCATTTTATTTTTTACAGGGGAAATCTGTTGCGCTATAACAAAAAATATGACGAGGCGATTTCAAGCTACCGGTCGGCCATCCATTTTAGACCCACATTAGCGCGTAAGTAATCTGATATTGCACTATTTTCTTTTGGTTTTTATCAGCAAATCGTATAACTTATTGAGTAATTCGTATTTCAGTAGCTTATCTCAGCCTGGGTGATTGTTTAGCAACCACTAACCAACACGCTGAAGCAGAAGTGGTACTAAATAAGTGCCTCACTCTGGATGGTTCTAAGGTTAAAGACATTAAGTCCCACAAAACCGCCAAAAAATCATGTGTTATTCGATTGGGAAAAATGTTTGTAGAAATTGGCGAACACCAGAAAACAGTACAATTGTTCAAGTCGATAATAAAATCTGAAGGATCTTTATCGCAGGTAAATTTTTCTTTAACATCATAATATTTTATATAAATAATTATAATTATGTCCGCTCTTCACAAATCCATTTTAATCCATGTTAAAAATAAATCTCAATTTAATATTTTCTTATTTTCTGTTTTAATAAATATAATGGACAGTTGAAATGTATAATTTTAAAACTCTATACATTATGTGATCATTTATAAAATCGATCGACTACTACTACACAACAATAACGACATTAACATTATCAACGGGTAAATAAAGTACAATAGTTTAATAAATCAAAAAAATGGACACAACACAAAAATAATTACCAATAATATTTTTTCTTAAACACTGTATCTTACTAAAGTGAATGGACTAGTTTGCTCCTACAGAAATAAAATAAATTGTATCTTATACTATGTATTATAAAGTATTGTAATTTATAATATTTAACGATGGAAAAGCGAGTGAAGATATAAATGTTTCAAATACCAGAAAAGTAATAGGATTAAATAAATTCGATAATCATCGATTTTAAATTGTTTCCTAAACTCCATCAAAAACTTGTGATATAAATACCGATGAACGCAGATGTGCAATATGCGCATTCTCTTCGAAAGTGAAAGAAATTAAATCAACGAGTCGTGGTCGGCATTATCATTAATGTTTGAGCGTTTAATGAATTTCGTCTCAAGATCGAAAACATTAACCCAGTTGCATCCAACAATTACGGAAAATTCCACTACAAACTAGTCACTCACACCAACCCTCTTATAGCCATTCTAGGCGGAGGTCAACTTTTCAGAAAATCTTCCCCGGTCAGTTCAAATGACGCTAGTGCAGAGATTTAATAAGTCTCCAACCATAATACCACTTGAGGATTCTGTCACAGGATAGCTTCTCTCCTCATGCTAATTATCGTGCAAATATTCTCCACATCACAGTATCCTATTTGCCTACTCTACATGTATGTTGCAGACTATAAATTGTTTATTCTAATAAAAATAAACGTTTCGTGATACGCCTCAAGATGGGAACGAGATATCGAACAATGTACCAATAGAATTCTAATCGGGTTTTGATCAAAAATAAAGTGTAAAATGTATTATAGTCACTAAATAAATGACAAATAGAACTTGACGATGATATATTGGCTTGGCCCATGTATTATATTAGCATGCCATGCCAACGTATATTGTCTTATGTTACATATATTGCTTCGCAGGATTTTTACAAACGCTTTATTCCGTGTTTTTTTAAACGATTTCCGGGGATGTAATATAAATGTCGAGTCGGTAGCGTTACTCGTACACACGTCTCGGGCGACAATAAGCTTCAACTAACGGGGAGCAGTACTGCACACGCGAGACAACGAATTCTCATTAAACGTCACTGTTTTTTCAAATGGAAACCCACATACACACACACACACACACACACACACACACGTCATTATTGTTCGTTCTGCACAACAAAGGCGGGTGTTTTAATTTATGTATTTCTATAGAAAACGAAACGCCCGACATCAGCGAACAATATAATTATTAATATGATGTGCACGCACGCGCTTAACACCGATGGGGAATGTACATTTGACGTTTATTATTGCTCTAGCTGGAAACATGAATTTCTCGCTCTGTAGCTTATTCCCCAGTGATTAAACGGTTATTAAGAAAATGAAAACCGGAGAGAAAAATAACGATAATTCCGTAATATTTCGTAAACACGTTCCTCGATGTTTTGACAGCACGCAGAAGGTATACGAGGCCGCAAACACATGATTTTATCATCCGTTGTTGACAAATAATAATTACTGACAACGGTGGTGTTGCGTAAACATTAACACTTACATTTTCTCGATTAATTAAAAATACTCCGAACGGAACTCGAGTTGTCGTCATGATTTACGCGAATTACGTCGTTTTAAACATTATTTTAGTTTTTAAATTTTCATGTCCTTATAGGTCCAATAAACTTAATGGTATATAGTGTATAAATATCTAAACTAGTTATAAAATACATCAAATGTTGTTTGATTTTACTATGTTTATAATGATAACAAAGTACGAATCGTAATATTAACTTTTTTTGTATAAAAATAAGAATACAATGTATACTAATACATACTAATACGTTTCATTATGATTTCACGCCCAGTATTTATCATGAAGATATCACAAATCTCTATAATTTACTGACATTCGAACTCATTTTGTCTGATTCATAAATAGATATTACACTGGTGGGTAATAAATTAGCTTAATAACTGTAGAGTGACTTATGACCTATTAAAATTTTAAGCATTTATATTTTATCATCTTCAAGTGAACTTATTTTTCGCGATAAATTTTGCTTACTTAAACGTGAAAAGTGAAACCAAATCTTTATTAAAGCAACACATTTTAGCGCTAATAATAGTAAATAGTAATAATAATTTTTAGAGTACCGAAGACGATGTGTTGGACAACACTCACGTTCTCTAGGGTATTCGACGCGTTATACGGTTCAATCAGAATTTGGGCGCACCTTTTGATAAAATATTCGATCTTTCCCGGTTCGAGGCACGATAAGAATATAAAATATATAAGAGCTATGATAAAAAAAAAGCACAAAAACTACCAATGCATTTCACTTCGTCTCATTTTTACTTTCTTTTCAATAGAACCCTCAGCCCTCACCATAGTCTAAGCCGCAGTGAATCATATGTATACCGAACACAAGTAGTCGGTGTAGTAGTAGTAGTATAGTTGTTGTAAGGATAGTCGTTGTAACCATAGTAGTGGTATAGTACCGACAGTATTGAAAAGTAAAACTTTTTTTGGGCTTTGGATTAGAAAATGACGGTGTACGCTAGAAAAAGCTGCGGCAACAAGGTGAAAACCTTTTTTTTTTTTTGGGGTATTGCCTATTGAACATAAAGTAAAGATCGAATAATTTATGAAGCTGTTTTATATATGTATATAATATATACACATATACACACACACACACACACACACATATATATATACTATATATATATATATATATATATGTGTGTGTGTGTGTGTATGTGTGTGTGTGTATATGTGTATAGCGTAACGTATAAATATATGATATATACATGATACATATATATTAGATAGTGCCTATCAAAACCGGACTAAGACATCCCTCCTCGCGACATGTAAGTAAAATAGGAGATGTCGAACGGGTAAGAAAAGGAGTTTAAGGGATCAAAATGATGTGTCTATTCATCGTTGCAGTAGCGTATGTATAAAGAAGTGTAGGGTACACTTTTATATATAAAAGAACCCTGTGGTAGTATAATGTTTGTGTGTTGCGTATACCTATGTATACTTCTATCAAGCAAGGCCTAATCCGATTTCTCTCATGAGGTGGCTTCAGATGGTGGTTTTCTATTCACAGCCATCGTCAAATGCACTGTATACTGATGAAAGGTGTTATTAAATTATTATTGATTAGATTAGGTTTAAGATACACACACGGTTCTATTTTTTAGAGTGGCTCGTATACTACAGTATATTAAAAGATAAATAACAAATGTACCTATATGATAAACGCGTTACAATCATAACCCAATGTTATATAAATATAATATAATGTTATGTAATGATAGTATTTCTCTACTATTTTATAACTACAATCCAAAACGTATTCCATTATACATGACACTATTAAACATATATATTTTACTCAGTATAACATTTATACATTTTATTTACTAAATAATTGTATGTGCTTATTGTGATATATTTCAAGTTCTTGCTTTATTTATTTAGTATATATTTAGTTAAAATAAATAATTAATTCTATTATCTCATTTATAAGTAATTTTTTAAATAATTCGATTTATAAAAGTCATATATCAAACCAATTTAAATTAAAGGAGCAAAGTCGTAAACAATTAGTTAATGCAAAATTCAAGATCAATTAATCAAGGAAATAAGTACATGAACTAGCCATGGAAGTGATGTGAAAAGGTATTGAATTTGCTTTATACATTTATAAAGCTATAAATAATAAAGGTCAAAATATAGTACTTGAAAAAGTATTTTGTTGTATATTTTAATTATTTAATATATATTAATATATATATATATATATATATATATATATATATACATGAGATATACTTGCTAACTTGCTATACGTTGAAGTAGAAAACATTTATTATCTCACATTTCCAATGTGAATTTATTTAAGTTGACAAATATAACATACCACACCACCGATATTATCATTTATTTTATAACGACCAATACGTAAAATACGTTTATGATATTGCACAATAAAATATCAATGTTTTTCAAAAAAAAAAAAAAACCCCGATTTATGTTTTATTATTATTGAAGTATTATACCTATCAAGTTTTGATCGATTTACTCGATTATTACTCATTACGTGTGGTTGAATATTTTAAAATATTTCTTATAATTAACGTGCTAATTATTTGAAAAACTTCACAAAGGATGAATAATTAGACCATAGTAATAAAATAGAATTCTTGAGTGCTTAACTAGAATAAAAAATTAAATAATAATTTTTAAATAATAACTTTTTTAAGATAAATATTGTTTTATATTTGAATAATTCTACAGTTTTCTAATTAATAATTCTCAACTTTTATAATATGCAGTACTTTTATTCGGTTTATAAATAACTCACATTATTTTAAAATACACAGAATATTATAACTATGTAACTTACATATATTAAGACTTCGTATATATATATATAGTGTATTTTTGTAAAATACTTTATCCCGTCATGTTTTTAGCGCATTTTATTTCAATGCAGAATTATATACTAACTATAAATATTGGTTATGAAAACTAGATGATTTTCTTTACTTTATTCTACCGATAGATATTCAAAATTTCTGTAAGATATTCATAACTATTATATATTGTTCTGATGAATAAAAAATATCTTCAATTTTGACAAACGCTGAAGGGGAAAATTTTCATATTTTGTTTAGACGATAAACTAAAAAATGTGCACCAAACATAAATATATTCGTGTAT